AAAAAAAATCATAAAGGGAACACCACCCAAAAAGCTTGTTTTCAAATGCCTACGGTAGTTGCTGTTGTCGGCGAACAGCTGGATGATCCACTTGTTGCCATCACAGATTGAGCACTACCGACAGTGAGGTTTGCGTCTCGACGAACAGCATTCGACGAGAAACCTGGCAACGTTGGAAAGCGTATGCCAATATCTCGTGACAACTTCACTGGTACCTAAAAAAGAGGAGTGACTTCATGAAAATCACACAGGCATACTAATAAGCGTGTTAGAAAGCGGTGATCTGTAAACTTCCGTCTGTAAATTAGTCAATGGCGCAAAAAAATAAGATTAGAACTTCAATTGAACGCCTTCTTTCCAAATATTTGCCGATGGCGGGCGATGATTTTTCAGGGACGGATTTGACAAAAAAAAAAGCTTGATAGTGCAGATTGAGTGTCTTGCTTTTTCAGCAATCAACTTTTTTTAAACATCAAATATTCTATCGAAATTCATCCAGGAGTCGAGAGTAATTTTCCAAATTGTGAGGTTCGCAAAACATTTTCAAGTGAATCAGAAAAAGATGCCTCTCCACATCAAAAAAATTCAATTATTCCAAGTTGATTATATTATGAAAGACACAAATTGTGTATCAATTCTATGGTAAAGTCAGCGGAGGCTTTAACCAAAAGCTATAGCTCTATTGGATATTTCGGGCTCCAACAAATATAAACATACTGCAAACCCCGACTCCCCCAACCACATAAAGCGATGATCATCACTCATGACAGAATATTGCCTTGGCAAGCAAACCAACACAGAATTTAAGTTTCGCATTCAATATATAGTACAGGAAAAAGGATAAACGGAAGTTTACAAATCTTCACCCAACAAAGGTTAAGTGCAAGCAAGGTAAAACCATAACATAGGGAACTAAACCATGCTTGACAACATAAAACAGGAAGAAAAGCTAACTCATGAGGATACGCACAGGTTGTCTGCCGCAGCTCTCTTGGTCAGTGGAGTGTGTCGATTTTCACACAGCGCGAAGAATCACTGTTGAGAAGGCGGCGCAAGAAGGCATGGTGAACTGTGGATGGCGGGCATAGGGCTGGTGGAGTGACCAGCTTTGCGCGACAGTTTGCGAGAAGCCGCACGAGCTAGCAACGAGGAAAATGTGCTCTAAAAATACATATCAACACACGGTCCACACACCGCATGACGCAATCATTAAGGGGAAAAAGCTCACTCCCGCTTGGGATTCTTATATCAGAAAGAAGGTGTTACACATCTCAGCGGTTCAGCAAAAGCGCTCGCTAACAAATGCCCGCTATCGCAGTTCAAGCAAGGAAGCAGTAAATGACTAGGTTCAGATGAGTTCTTGACTGAAGCCCTGACCCTTCCCCCCCTCCCCCTCCCCTACTTATT